AAAGAAGAAAACTAGTGTTCTGTATAGCCGCTCAAAGCTCAAGTGGCTTTCTGAGGTAGATCTAGACTCTAGATCTAGATATCTAGTCTTGAAGACGGACAGTTAGGCCATTGAGTAATGGACATGAGACTTCGCCGCGTTCACTGCGGAAGTGTCAGAAAATAAATAGTCAGTGTTTTTATTTTTAGGTTGATTGCGAAATGAGAGTAGCTTCCCGTGAACAAGGTCTCATTAAACGTAGTTCGCAGTGATCGCATTGTGCTGTTATCTTGAGAATTAATTTAATTATTTATCTATTATTATCTAGATCTATCAGAGTATTCAGAGATTGTGCTGCCCGTTGTCTTTATGTTAGTAAAAGTTTAGTCCTTCTTAAATCTTTTCAATTTTATAATCTGTTTGTATACTGACAGACTACCAAAAGAATTAGTGTTGTTGATATATTGTTATTGATCGTGTCTTCAAACAAAGTTCAAATTGGATTCTGCCGTGGCAATGAGAACAAAAGTTGCTAGAGAGACCAACCTGAGACTTGAAAAAATGTCCACATTTTGGACAAGGGTGCGCGCGCAATGAGTGAGCAGAACATGCTCTATGTCTGATGTTGGGACAGGCCCTGAAAAAAAAGTCGAGCGGAGGTTGCATCTTCTCTTGTGTATTAGTTTTAGCGTCCAGAACTGCACCGTCAGTGATGACAGTAACTAGTAGTCTTCGCAAGACCCTGGTGCTCAGGAGCAAGGAAAATGGATGATCTAAGGAGGACGAGATCTTAGCCAACATAACAGTGGAAAAATCCTCGGTGACTCATGGTAAGGCTCACAACTGGTAAAATGGTCTCTGTCAACAATAAAATGAACTGATGTGACCCCTGAGTGGGTTTGTGACATAATTTGGCGGGCAAAGAGTGGTCAACCTTGATAACCAATCAGAGTGGCATGAGGCATGCCATTTACACTTCTTACCCTATTGCGAGTCTGAAAAACCTACACTAAATCCAGTTGCCCCCCCCCCCTCTTTAAAATATTACATGTCGAAAATTTATAGCTTTCCATCACAGACCGTGTTCCCCCGCCTCTGTCGTTACTAACCATTACGTTTTGACCATACCTATAAAAAGTTAGTCTGTCTCGCAAATTCAGGAACAGAGAAAACTGCAGCAATGGTCTGGGAAGAGTTCAGAGTTCGATGCAATCCCGCCTGGAGCGAACTTGCAGGCCCTACCCACTCAGCGAGTGGTGTACGTTTAGGTGGAGATGCTCAAATGCGAGTGCGATGAGTGGCGGAAAACAAACGCATCGGTCATTTAATATCACACCTCGGTGTGAGTGATCCCGTCAGGGGCAAACCTTTGATCAGATTTACTACTCCTATGTGGGTACATTCACGAGAGTGGCTGATCTTTGACGCGACGGGCAGTTCATTAATCTCAACTTTTCACTCTTAGTTGATCGGCTATGCTCGCCCCTGTTTTTATTCCGTAAATTCTGATCTGAGAAATGCGGGATTTTAGCCGAATGTAGACCTAATTCAGAGTGAATCAGGGCGGGATCTTAGGGGTGACTCGTGAATAGTAAAAGTTCTGTTTTCTTAAAACAGCGCGATTTTTAGCGAACCGGGACCGTAAGCGGTGGGATCTTAGGCGGAGTCATAGAGTATCTCCTTTTTTAAAGCTAGAATTCCTTCACACAGCTCGTCAACTGAAACATGGCGGACGCCGCTGTCAAATGTGGCCATCGCACAGCAAGGCGAGAGAGGGACGTGCTGTACTTAGTTGGGCGGAGCAGACTACTGCATTGTATCCCCCAATTCCCTGTTACTGCTCTTAAAAAAACAAAAAAAACCACAAAAAAAAACCCAAAGAAAAAAGAAAAAAAGACGAAAACCCCCCAAAGAAACAGTAATGGTCCTGGTAGCAATTTTACCTTTGGGCGAAGAATCCCCCAAATGGCGTCTTGTCTCGTGTATGTCCGCTGCACCACGGCGTTCTTTCGCTGCTCTCACCATGGCTGACCCCTGACCTCGACTTTCTCCCTCCTGAGCAATAGCTTCCAGCATGCCGGACAACATAAAGTTGGTGGGGAACTGAGCAGCCCAGCGGTTCACAGCCTTGCCAGGATCAGGTACATATATCTTCTTTCTGATAAATGGAGAGAAATTTTTTTTCAAATATATATATATGTTGCTTGTTTTAGTAAAGAGAAGCACATTGACATCGTAATGGTCATTTGGTGCAGAGAAAAACAAATACAGTCAGATGAAAAAAACAGAGGGAAAGAAAAGAAGCAGGACCTAACAGTGGCACCCTCCAACTACCCACAGATATAAAAGTATTTTTGCTTCATCAAGCTACATTTGCTGATGTACAGATACAAAGCTTGTAACTTGAGCATTCCTCCAGAAGCCCAAATAAATTTGCTATGAGAAAAGTCACCTTTCTATGACAAAATTACAAATATTTTAGGATGCCTTCAACACACAAAAGATAATTTAGGAGATGGGCTGCTATGGTAAAGCCTGGGCTGAGAGGGAGGCAGTATCCTTACAGAGGGGTGGAAAAACTTGAAAAAATTTCACTTTTGAATCAAATTTACGTCTTTCATGTGCAAGGGTGAAAAGGCTTACCATTACACCACAGAAGCCATATATGGCAGAGAGAAATAAATGAATGAAACAATTGCATTTACAAAGTGCATATCCACTCTCTACAGCATGCTCTATGTGCTTTATAACCATTATTACCCCAGGAGACCCTAAAACACTCAGAAACATTTTTGGCTTCCCGGAAAGCATACAGTGCAAGCTGTGGATTGCACGAACTCAAACATTAACACACTGACAAGACCTTATGCTGTCTATAGCCAAGTACCCATTCCCACCTGGGAGAAGTGAGGAAAATTGATGCAAAGTGCCTTTCCTAAGGACACAACGTCGGGTCCCTGACGGGACTCCAACCCACGACCTTATGGTTGTGAGTCCAAGAGCTTAACGGCTAGACCACCGATGCCACTAACGAAACACTAATTAAAGAGAAATACGATAATATGTGAGACATCGTGGTGAGATCAGGCGCTTGTCAAAATAATGAAATCCGAGAAATCGGCATTTTTCGGCCGGTTTTGGCTTTTTTTGTTGTTGATCTTTAGTCTTTTGGCTCAACACCTTGTACGTGTATGTCCATTAAAAAATAATTTTAAGTGTTGATATTAAGGAAAACGATAAATAAAAGGCACAAAAATGTAAAATTGCAGGACTGTAAATCTATGGAAGTCACCAAACTTTGGCGGCCATTTTCTCGCTAATTTCACCTATGAAACCATGCGACCCCACCTCCTTCAATCTCAAAGACCTCGACTTTTATTCAAAATAAATATGGATATTTTTTTTCATGGAAAGCAAGGCAAATGAATAACCTTTAAGATGATACCAATAACTCCATATGCCCAAAAATTGACGTGCGCCTGATTCCACCATGTCATGACACATAGCAACCCACTTGCACTCAGGGCAGAGGAATGTGGAATGTTTGCCTCCACTCATCTCTTTCACAAGATAGTCTGAGAGACATTTCTTGCAGAAATTGTGCAGACATGGCAGTGTCTTAGGCTGACTGAAGGGCTGGGAACACAGTGTGCATGTGAGGTAATCTTGCTGGAGTCGTTGAGAAGTAGCCATGTTCTATCCTATGACCTGAGGAAAGATGAGATGTACAAAACACATTGTTTATCCATATGTGAAAAAGTTTTAGGAAGAGTTTTACGGCACTTGCAACACAATAAAGTCAAATAAGTGCCGAAGATTAGAGGTGTTACAAGAAAATAACAAATAAACACAAAAGAAGGAGAGATAAGGAAAGATAAATATAATAGACATTTGACTGGAAAAAAGGAGCAAACCGCACCAAAGCACCTGCCAATCACCCAATGAGTAGAAAAAAGCAAACCATGCTTTCATCAGAAAAAATACAAAACAATTACGCCAACAAAAAGAAACACACTACTAGTTAATGCATACAAATGTGAGAGCGTGCACACACACTCACACACGCACACACACACACACACACACAT